GATGATTCAGCAGGTAGCATTGAACCAATGCTGCAGCAGGCTGCCAGGGGTGCTGTGCTGCTGGAAGTACTATATTTCCATGGTGTCAAGTATCAGAGGGGTAGCCGTGTTAGTCTGAATCTGCAAAAAGCAACAGAGGGTCCTGTGGCACCTTTAAGACTAACAGAAGTATTGGGAGCATAAGCTTTCGTGCATCTGAAGCTTTCGTGCATAAGATTCACTTGCATCTGAAGTGAGGTTCTTACCCATGAAAGCTTATGCTCCCAATACTTCTGTTAGTCTTAAAGGTGCCACAGGACCCTCTGTTGCTTTTTATATTTCCATGGAGACATGGAATCAAACTCCAAGACACTTGGCACTTTTCATAAGGAAAGCGTTACTAGCTCTTGATACTCTAGCCAAATTCCAGTGTGGGTAATTACATTCTGCCCACCTACAGTAACCCCCAGGCAGCTTCAGACAGAAAAGTTATTCTTCACTTCCCCTTCTAAAATACCTATTGTGTTGTTTGTTAAACAGCTGTTAGGTTGCACACCAGCCATGGCTGCACTGGTAGGGAGAATGCATGATTCCTGTACAGTATATATCCTTGATAAAACACTTTGGGACCCTTCTGGATAAGAGATGCCAAAATAATAACAATTAATAAAATCTGGTTGGAAATTGTATTTATTCATGAGAAGATACCCTTTTTAAAAACCCCAACTTTTCCACAATTAAAAAAAATTGTTTTTGCAGACTTTGGTTGATACCAAAAATTTTGAAACTTTGCCATTTTTTATTTTCATTTCATTTCCCTCCCCTTCTCTTTCTCCCTTTATTCCTGTTTGCCACCAAATTCAGCAGAGTGAGTGCTCTCTACGTTTTCCATTTTTTCATTTTGCCACATTGTAACGTTTCAAAACTTCCTCAACTTTGGAAAAGTTACAGAATAGCATAATGAAACTCGGTAACTTTTCAAAAGTTGGAGAAATTTCAAAAAGTTACAAAGTAGCAAAAAGAAGAGAAAAAGTGTGTGTGTGTGTGTGTGTGTGTGTGTGTGTAGAATACAAACCCTGGACATAATTAATTTCATTGGATTTTTTGCAGGGGGAGGGGAAAAGGGAAGAAAAGGAAAAAACAAAAAATTAAAATCTTAAAAATTTAAAACTTTTCAAAAATATTTGTACTACATAAATAAATACATAAAATAAATTTTGTTCTGTTTTGGCCCATGTGAAACAGAAACAACTGAAAATGTTCTCAAAATTGGTCCTTTAATATAAATAATAAAAATTCTCATAGTGTGCCATCTCAGTAATACATGGAGTATATAGGTTATTGTATAGATACATAGAAGTGCAGCATGTTTTGATAATTTCATCTGTCTCTGAGGAATCCACACCTCTGGTTATGCCATGTGGATGGACTCAGCCTTGGCCGGGAATGACAGGGTTAGGGAGGCAAGAATGTGCTAGGGTCACAGGGCAGGAATGGCTGTAATGCTAAGATTCCAAGCCCTTCAGGCCCTTCACAAACAGCTCATTGTTCCACCCCCTGCTGCTCTTGTCTCCTGTCAATGCTGGGTGTGGGTAGGGGAGGGGATGATGATGATGGGGGTGATGTTCCTCTTCCTCCCAATTACTGTAAGTAGGTCAGAGGCTGGAGGTGGTCCAGGATGCTCTGCCGAGGCTTTGAAGCTTGATTCAGGCAAGGCACGCAGCTCGAACAGAGAAGCCAAGCCAAAGGGCTCCAGAAAACCAAACAAGGGCAAAGCTGAACAGGAAGAGGCTTATACACATCGATAGGGAATATATTTAAAAGCACCCCCTGGACAGGGCTGTTAGGGCACTTGTAACCCAGCCAGCTGCACTCACTGCTATTCCAGTCTCACGATCCCCTAACACAGCTCAATCAATGCATGTGAATCCAGCAGCTCCCCTTCTTATCAATCCAGTGCCCGGGACTCACAGCTCTGGTGATGCATCTCTTTGTAAACACCCAGTTCTGGCCCTTCTCATGGTGTTGCTTCATCCTGACTGGTTACACTCCATGTTACTCCATCCTGGGGACCCCCAGTTGACACAGCTTTGCCAGTGCACCTCTGTCCTGACCTATCGTGCCTTATGCTTTGCCTTTGCCAGTCCCTCGCACAGCTCCTGCCTTTGGAGAAAATTGGTGGGAGTTTTCAGGAATGCTGACAAACCAGATGGAAGCAAAGGTCTCACCATTCAGTACAGAAGCAGGATGGTAGAGAATGGAGGGGAATCCAGACACTTGCACGTTCCCTTCCAAACATCTTTCTCAGATTCACACATCATTCTGTTAATGTCCACAACTGGGGTGAAGATTGAGAAACCCACAGCCAAAAAGGGCATTGGGAGATCCAGAACCAAGATTAAGAGTCTCATTGTCCTTGCTAGAGCTTGGCTTGGATCAGGGAAGAGAACCATGGCACCTTGGCTTATGATTGTGTCAGAGTTCATAGATTAAGCAGGGCTGGGGCTGGACAGTGCTAAATTGGTGAGAAAATCCCCAATAAAAAACCAGGGGGCTGCGGGAAATGCCAGGAACTCAGCAGGTGACATAGTTCAATTTAGGTAGTATATTTGCAATGTCCCAGTGTGTTGCTAGGGGATGCTGTACTGAAGGAGGTGCTGTTTTTCAGATGAGATATAAAACCGAGGCACTGAAGCACTCATTCTCTTTAAAGATCTTATGGCAAAATTGTTAACCCTGACCTCCCAAATATAGTCTAACTTTGATCAATGCATTCTGCTGGTCTAAAAAATCTTCCTTTGGTGTCAGGTGAACATGGTTATCCTCCAATTGTCATGCAGCATTGCTGGCTCAAAATGTCTGCAACTTCCTCCCCAGCATAAGATAAGAGAGTGTTGGGTGGGAGGGATGTAGAGTGAAACACAGCTCCCGCTTCTCTCCTTGTCTCAGTGGAGCAGCATCCCCAGACTACTCCCTCTCCTTCTTGACTGGAGCTCCCCTTCCTGTTTCAATCTACTCTAACTGCTGCTCCCCAGAAGTGGCTGCACTGTAGCAGTAAGTAGGTGAACAAAACCTATGTATCTACTAGGCTGTACAGTGCTTTGCAATCCCGCAGATGAAAGATTCTATGTAGAAATGTCAGCCATGAATATTCCCATGTGCCTCAAGGCTATTTTGATTCCCTTGTCCTTGTTTTTCAATTCCTAGCCTGACTTTTTATGAGTGCTCTCATTCACTCTCTGCCCACTCCCTCTTGCTGTTGGGGCCAGCTGTGTTCCACCCCAAGCTCTCCAAGTCTCTTTCTCTCCCACTTACTTTTAACAAAGCTGGGAAAAACTTCCTACAATGAAGAGAGAGAAGGCGAGAGAGATCAGGAAGGATGGATGGCAGGAGGAAGGGCTCTGGTGCATTTTCTGTGGCAGCTACCGCATTAACTTTTTCAATACTAGCTGAATCCAGTTAGTCCACAGTTGTCACGGGGCACT